AGATTGTACGGTAGCTCCGTTTCTCGGTCTTTTTCGTCTATAGCTTTCGTAAACATAAATTCGCCATAGATCCCGGCGAGCCAAGATTTATTACCCATGAATTGTGCCGAAGGGGGCGGTTTACAATGGGCCAGCAAATTGCGGCCCGTTTATATCGATGGAGACGTTACGGGGGCCACAGTTTGCCACTGTGTAGGAACAAGTGTGAAATCAGGTGCATCCATAATGCAAAGGGGTGATTCGACGTCCGAAATTCACACCCCGATGAGGTCGTAACGTAGCTCCGTTCCGGGGTGGAAATCAATTAGACACGCAGCGGAACGGTACATTTATTTTCGACGTGACGAAAGAGGAAACGCTACGGAAAATCGTCGTCTGATTACTCCGTAAAAAAAAAATGTTTCCAATGTGTATAATACAATGAAATATTAATTGCACTTGAATTATTTATTAACAAAAAGAGAACGAATATAAGGATAGTTTAACTAAGTATATTTTCAATAGCTTAACACTTGGTTCTAAAGGTACAGCAAAGGTCGAACAAAGTCGTGCAGATCGGTGGAGGGGTGTCTCTAACTTCCTAAGAATTAAAGTGAATCGCTCGGGGGTAGCTAAGGGTCGTAGCCTCCAGCGATTATACTAATAGTCGGGGCGTAGACAAGCTGATAGGGAGAATAGGGGTACGGTGGAGCTACTAATTGTTTTACACGGCGGAAACTTCGTTTGGTTAATTTCCGAGCGCCTTTAGCGCGTTTATCACCTCGCGAAAAAATCCGGGAAATTATTAGGTTGATCGGAAAGTTCTGTCGCACTGGATTTTATTTATTGTACGTTTACAATCTTACTTGAAGACTTCCCGTCTGCTACGAACAAATTATTTGTCAAAAAGGTTTTCCAATAAAAAAATCTTGGAAAGGAACGTATATCCAATTTCCTTTTTCGCGCGTTCGCTCTGGACGCAAAAAGTGCCATGTATTCGAATGGTCGAGCTACAGGAATAGCGCGCCGACGATGCGGAAGGAAACTCAGTAGCGGAAAACCGAACAATGGCCTGCTTCCTGGCAGGTTGATCCTGCTTGAGTAATGTTGAAATCTGGGGCGTTCCTGGGAAAGGCCACCTGACCTCGTCGTCCCTTCATCAGCGTCGCTGGACCCTCCTGGACGAGTCATTCTCGCGTTTTCTCAGCAACTGTATCCAACATCGGATTAATGACACTGCGATGGCGCGTTAGCAACACGCTCGTATAATCGAAGTGTTCACCCCTTTTAATCTTTCTTAAACCTCGAGACGATATAAATTTATTCGGTTTTCTGTCAACCAGGCCGACAAAACAGATTAAGTTCTGATCGACGACCGAACAATGATACGCATTATCACAACACGAACGATAAGACCCCGTCGTGGATTTAATAACTTCATCCTATGTCTGAGTTAAATCATATGTAATATTTCAAAATTGTCTTGACGATCAACTCTTTCTAAGACTATAGATATGTGAGTATGTAATTTAAAACGAATGTGAAAAAGAATGCGATGTTACCAAAATTGCATTCCTAATATTGTACAATATGTCTGAAACCATTCGTTGAAACGTATGTACACCAAGGTATGTATCTCACAGACATTGTGACGTTTCCAGAGCTTAAGACGCATCGTAGGTGGTGTACGTATTTATACTATACACATAGGACGAAAGTCAAAAATATTGGAATTTCGACACGGTGCTGAAACTAAATTTCCCCGGGACCGGAGGAAGCCGTTCGGGGATGGGCACGCGGTCGGGTAATGGAAGATGTGATAATTTAGTATGCACGGCGGAGTTTATTTGAATTTTATTGGCGGGCTCGCTGTCACGTGGGTCAACGCGTAGGAGTGGTGGTCGTGCCACAAGGGGGTCCCTCTTTCGCTTTATCGGATCGGGGGAGAGACGAGACGCTCCTCCCGTTTTCTCGTTTCCCCGAGGGGACACTTTCGTCCGACCAATATCGCTCCTCTTTCTCTTATTCGGCCTGCTCTCTCGCTCAGCCGCGTGGTTTTTCCAGCCTTCCCGTCTCTTTTTCTATCTATCTACCCTCTCCTGGGCCGCTTCCAATATCTTTCTAAGTTCTCCGAGCCGGCCATGAATAAACTATTCCCCGACTTTGAATATCTGAACGTTTTTCGCGGGAATGGGACCGCCATCGAGGGACCAACCGCAGAAAGGACGAGAGAGGATGATATCGATTGATCGACGCTCTACGTGGAAGGGTCTAAACATTGAACCGATGGTGCCATCCTTCAATTTTTCGAAAACGCTATGGCAAGAGCTTAAAAGAATGGGATCCGGCTCTCTACATATTACCACGAACAAAAAAGTGAGGAAAGATTCCATCTGTCATCTACATAACAAGCTGTAAAAAGCAGACAGCCAGCAGAAATTGATCTAAATCTGTAGAGACGATCCTTATTCTTGCCGATCACAGGACAATTAATTTTTCGTAACGGTGACGGTGATGAAATCAAGCAGTCAGCATAATGAGTAGCGTCGTCTGCCGCGCAATTCATCGGATCTCGTAGAACGCGAGGTGAAACGACGAAGAGGAGGAGGAGTAGGAGAAGGAGGAGGAGGTGCGAAGGATGACGCGGGGTTATTAATATTCAGAACGAGGAACAGGAGTCGAGAGCAGTGCCGAGTGACAAATACCTCGCGCCCGCTCCCAACCCCGGAACGGCTCAACTCTGTAATTAACGCTAATCTCCCGGCCGTTCCTCCGACACCGTACCACCCACTTCGTCTTCCCTCCCGCCTCTCTGTACTTACCGAGCCAGAGGGTGGCCTTAAACAGGCTCTCGAGTCGGTTCTTGGATGAACAGGATCCATGATTCTTACTCTCGGCGAGCAAGAAAAGAACACTTGCATAAAAAATAATCGGCACGCGCAATAAAAATCTAATGGCTTTTCGAATATCTGGCTACATAACATGTTTTATAATTTTGTTTTTTCTTTCGATGCGGAAGAGAATGAAGAGCGTTATTTCGATCCCTTCTACCTTTTTAATCGAATAAAGACAGCGTGAGAATGGAAAACACAAACCACCGGTGGTCTCTGCATATTTTTGCAAATATTACGTTGGTCGCTGTTCGTTCGTCACGCGTTGTGTACATTTAAATTTACAAAACCGGAAGCTGAAATACTACCCGCGCGCGGACGCGCGTAAATTATCATTGCAGAAGTCGGAAGTGCATCTAGCACCATTTCTCTCGTGAGAAGTTTCAATTCTATATGCGATCATAAAATAATCGTGGGTGTTGCATAATATTGAATAATCAGGATAAGCTCCCAACGAACGCGTTTCAAGTATCTTGATCGTGTCACTCGTTTTAATTGCCCGTTTCGTGAGATGAAGCAAGCACAGCGTTAAAAAATAACAGGAAGTGAATGTCGAATTACGGAAGACGGATAACAGCGTCCCTGCGAGGTCAAGGGACGAAGATTCCTTCATCCACTTCCTGCGATATGGTGGTTGCGCAGCTCGGTTAACACTTGGCGGACTAAAATAGCGAGTCAGCCGACCGCGAATATCCTTGATTAAACGCAAAAAAGCTTCGAGACCTCGCCTTGCGCTCTCTCTGGCGTGGCTACGTTTTTCCGCTACCCTCCGCCGTCACGACAACGGTCGGGTTTGAGCGCGGAATTGGATTGCCCGTCTTTCCTCTCTTCTCTCGTTCCTTGTCCTCACTTTGGCGGGAGGAAGAAACGCGCTGGTAGTTTCAAAAGCTTCTGGCGACTCGATTAGAGCACGCGACATCAGAAATACGTAAGCACGGGGTTCGTTCCCAGGTAGTCCTTCCGGTTAAATTGTACCAACGCTCTAATTTCTTGGAGGAGAGGAAAATATCTGTTCCTCTGCCACTCGATCAGTCTCCTTGCGTTTTACTATTTGTCTCTTGTACTTCTATATGTACTATACTATTGTAGTGTTAATTTTTATGTACTTGGATCAATGTAAGCAACGTAAAAAAAAAAAAAAAAATTTGGATATAAAGTACTGTACAAATAATGACAACGAATTTACTTCAACTGCTATCGAATATTTTGTTCAATTATTAATTAATGTTCAATAGTCCCTCTTTACAAAATTGAAACGAAACCGTGACAATCGAGGATGACGCTAGTCGGAACAATGCAGCAGGCACCTAAGGTGTAAGTTTCAAATGCCTAGGGGTGATGTCAGGACTCAATGATGTATGATGGAAGCAGGGAAATGCCACGTGCCTACCGACTTTCCACACAACTGTGAAAGGATTAGGGATTCATGTACTGCTGTATCACATAGACATCCTATAACTATAACATATTATTTCGGAGCGCAATTGAATTCCTTTCCCGGTTATTGACTTCGATCTATCAATCACACGTGGTCATTGGCTGTTACGCTTCCATAATCACCTTATTATGATGATAGCCTCGGGTAATCATTCATGATAAAGAATTGTTAAAAATTTCAATTCTAAGATTAATCCCTTAACAAAGAAAGTGGTAGAACCTTCAATCCAATCCATTCTTATTATTAAAAAATACGTTGCTGCACTTTACGCAGTTTCCATTCATATCAAACTCTCATAATCATTCTTCTAGCTATGTTAGCACATTAATATAGATTCATTCACTTGTAATAAACTTTAGTCAAGTTTCATCTTTGATATGATGTTAAAATATGATGAATGGCAATAAGGAGAAAGAATTTTCACCGCATAAATGCAAATAGTAAATTACTGATATGGAGACAAGCAATTTCAGATTCTGGCAGAATTATTATTCAAGCAACGGCAATTGTTTATTGTTGATAAACGAAATTCCTTTTTTTTCTACAGAAGAGATTCTCTACTTTCAGAATCGATTTTAAAACCATGAGGAAAAGGGAGAACAGCTCCAATCAAAAATCTCGATACGAGCACGATAGCTGTTTGCACTTGCCTTGAAATATTATCGCTCCAATAGAAGGCAGACTTGAGCCTATCATGATAAGATGTTCTTGGCAGTAGTGTCCGTAGTATCATTAGTTTACTACTACAAGCATCGATGGCTACCGTAAATAATATAGTTTTTAATTTTCTTGTATTCTCCATCCTTTTTAACAATGTGGAAAGTTATCACGCCGTGGTCCTCATCCACGGTGTCCTCACTGGAGCTGATAGTATGGAAATTATCAGTAACAGAATCCAAGAAGTAAGTAATGTAAACAATGAAACAAAATATGACATGGATATTTTAAGTGAACTTAATAAAATAGTAAGATCATCTCTTTACATAAAACGATCATTGCCTGTAGATGCACCCAGGGACTCAAGTTTATAATATCCCGAGGTTTGCCGGATGGAGCAGTTTGGAGCCTATGTGGCGACAAGTAAAGGAGATAGGTATGGATATCCTATCCATTGGTGCTGCATTTCCTGAAGGAATAAATTTGGTGGGTTACAGTCAAGGTGGCTTATTGGCTCGAGTGATACTACAAGCATTTCCCGATCACAATGTCAGGAATTTTATTTCGCTGAGCTCGCCACAAGCTGGACAATACGGAAGTATGTGATCCTAAACATCTTTGTTGAAGAATTGAAGAATCATCTTTTAAAATCGTATATTTTATTCCAGCCCGATTTCTGCATTTATTCTTCCCTGATTTAGTCTGCGCGACGGCCTATGAATTGTTCTATTCGAAAATTGGCCAGCGCACCAGCGTTGGGAATTACTGGAATGATCCTCATCATCAGGTTTGTACCGATTGTTACGATACCGAAAAAAGTACTTTCCACTTAGCTTCTAATTGAAATTTCTTTGTTTCCTCTTTCTCTTACAGGAACTATATCAGGAATATAGTAACTTTCTCCCGTACGTGAACAATGAAAAGAACACAACGAAGATTCAGCTGTCTAAACGAGGTCTTACGAAATTAAAACATATGGTACTCATTGGAGGACCTGAGGATGGCGTAATTACACCATGGCAAAGCAGCCACTTCGGATACTTCAACGCTGATGAAACTGTGATAGATATGCGCGATCGAAATATTTATAAGGACGATTTAATTGGATTGAAGACGTTAAATGAAAACGGGAGACTCACTCTCATCACTGTCCCAGACGTACCCCATTATGAATGGCATAAAAATGTATCCATAGTAGATGACTATTTATTACCGTACTTAGATTAATAACATCTTATTCTAGATAATTAATTATTGCGATAAGGGAAACTCCGACAATTTTAATATTTATTAATATGATACAATGTTTGTAAATCAATTTTATTATTATATCAGAAACACACAAAATACCTCGTATGTAGATATAAGTAGTGAAAAACGTGTAACAATTAAGGCAGCTCAATAACGGATTTATACATGTGTTCTTTTTTGTACAAATAAATGTTTACTACCTTTTTTAATACAAAATTAAACATTAATTCTTTATTTTTAGTAAGTAATTTGCAATTTATTTCAAAGATCTTTTTCTGCTTTCCTTGTAACTTCCCTATGTAATAGATGAATATAAAAATATTTGTGAACATGAGAACTACATAGTCTTTCGAGATAAATTATTAATTGAGATACGTACTATCGTATTTAGAAATTTGTATAAATTATTGACACCCTTTGAATTCCTATTTAACTCTTTTCCGACAAACCGTTTCTTTCTCTTTGTTTGTCAATAGAAAATCCGGTGCTTGAAGGCTACCATCGCAAACTGTTGTGAATATGAACTGTTCAATACGACACATAGGTTGCGTTCAAATTTCAATAATAAACTCCAGACATCGATTTCAAATTATAGTTAAATATAGGTGCTTGAGTGCTAATTGTCATTGTCTAATTTTAATTAAAAGTCAAATGTTGTAACAATGCGCGATTCTTGTAATTCGAATTATATTTTATTGCCCTTGCGTAGATGGCGTTAATGAATGGACAGCTGATTTACTAACACAAGCTGATTTGAATTAGCCTGTAACTGCGGAGAAGGTTAACGCATAGTATTCATGTTTATTACTATTTTTTATTGTAGAATACCGTGCGTCGTTGCAGTTTGCTTTATTATAAATAAAGTTTCGTACGTGCTGTAATTAAACGGTGCGAAATAAGCAAAGTCTCTTATTCTTTATAGTGGCTTCGTACGTACACGAACTTTGTGATATTTGTTTATGACATTCACAAGATAATATAAATTCTTGAAACGTATTTACATACATATATGTCAAGGAATCTGTAGAAGATTACTTATGTACTGTACACTATCGTGTATAGAAGTTCCTAATATTACGACCTACATACAAAAGATCTGCTACCAAGGTAAAAATTATAATAGAAACATGAACGATTCTTTTCTGGAAGACTTGGAATTAGCATCACCTGATGTTAAGACCATTAAGTCGTATCCCGTGGATAGGCATGTGACAACACGAACAGCAACATCTACTCCTTCACAATTGCCACAGAGTAAAGTAGAAAATATACATGCCGAACCAATTATTAAAGAATCAAAGAAAATGCATGAGCAAGGTATGAAAAAACAGCAGATGAGAGTAAGGATATCTGACAGGAAAGAGAAATCAGTTGAAACCAAACTGAAGCCAATTGAGAACAAAGTTCATACAGATGGAAAGGAACAAGAGATTAGAGATGATATCAAAGCAAAAGTCAAAGAATCAAGAGTAAAGATATCTGAGGGTAAAGCAGTTGCTAAAGATAGAGGACGTCGTTCTGGAAGTTATAAGGAGAATACTCAAGCTACAGATGCATCTCTAAAAGAGAATAGCAGACCCAGTGATTGTTCTAAGGAAATGTGTCCACAGATGGAAATGCCTAAAGACAAAACGAAAGCCTATGATAGTCTTAAGAAGGGAGAGTTCAAAGATATTGATCCTGTTACGCTTGTGAATGCCGTCAAGGACATCGTGAATGTATGTACAAAACAGGAGAGCACAAAGATCCTAAGAGCTATGCAAGAATTGCACTTGAACTCTCAAGCCAATCTCATTAAACATCTGTTGAGCCAAACAGAAGATATAATCAATGAGATGCATCCTAGCAAAGATTCCAACAGGATGAGGAAGTTAATTGAAGAAAATGAGAGATTGCAAGAGGATGTCGTCATACTGCAAAGAAGAAATGAAGAGCTACAGAAGAAGCTGGAAGAATTCGAGTATTTGAAGCAGGAGAACATTGCACTCAAATTGAAGTGCAAGGAACTGTCCAAACAATAGCAGAAATGTACCATGCTCTAAGCATTCACAAGTTTGTTGGCAAAGAAAGGTATTTATTCCATTCTACTGATCTGCCCTGATCGCTATCAATTATTGACATTAAATTTTTTTATAATAAAAAAAAAACATTAAAATTGTAGAATAACAATGTATAATCAGTAATTTGTTATCGTTCAATGAGCAGTCAAGTTTTTAAGTAATTGTAATATCAATTTCTGTTTTTAATTTGTACCTTAGTTACTAGAAAGATAAGATAGAAGTTACTGGTGTCTTACTTAGAAACACTTGTCTTTACTTTATAAATTTAGATAAGAGTGTGTGCTGGATTGATACACACAAGCCTACTATGTAAATTAAAGTGTTGTGTAAACATACTTACTGTAAGACTCGGTTAACGGACCAGTGGAAAACGCCACTGTTCTGTACGTTGTTCAAGTGCTTATTGTACGAATTTCCGTTTAATGTCAATAGCTGGTGGTTTCAGTATTCTATACACATTTTAACTGCACCGTGTTTTTCAAATTGTTGCGGAGCTTGAATGAAAAGTGATAATGCGTCCGTTAAAATTTATGAAGTGATATATTTTTTAACATTTTTACCAATATTTTTTTGTAAGTTCTAATAATGTTAAAATAAGATATTAAAATCTATTATATCGTTTAGAAGGTATTAGCCTCCGTTGACGTGAATGTATTGCCTATAATAATTTATCTCGCGTTGATTTGAGGTTGATACATTTAATGAACTAAAATAAGTATGACTAAAATCATAAAACAATTTCTGTAAAAAAAATTACTAATAAAATACTTCACGATTGAAATTACATAGTCTGTTTAAACATTTCTATAGTGATTAAAATGAAACAGCTTATGTTTATTTGAAACAATTTATATATTCGAAGATATTCTTAAAAGGCATATCAAGACGACATCATACAACTTTTCGACGAAAACGCACATTATATAATATATATTTACAAACAATGATAATAATTTCCATGATCTTCGTTAAATATAACTGATGTATAAAACGCGGTCAAGATTCATCAATGATAGGTGAATGAATCAATGATTAGAAAAACGTATAAAAGGGAACAAAAGACATTTGCTATCGGCAGTTTTGAAAATTTGAATTGTTTAAGAGCAAAGTGTTCGCGTTCTTATTTTATGGGGATGCGTTATTTAAAATATGTCATGTCAAAAATGTATTTTGGCTTAGGCGTGATTTAAAGAGTCGAACGAAAGCACTCTCTCGCATGTTCGACGACATGCTCGTTCGTATAAACGTTCGACTATATGTATGTATAAAGCACTTGTGTTTGAAGACTGTGTTCCTATGCGTCTTACGATCACGATATTCTTAACATCTTAATGTACGAACAATTATACAAATAGATACCTTAGTAATAAATATGAAAATAAAAATTACTAAAACATTGCTTAAATATGCGATTGAGAAATAAATTACCAGATAATGGATCCTTGAATTTAAGGAAATTTCGTATCTCTAAATTTCCTCTTTCTCCATGTTAACCGCGTATGTACATTTCATAATGTACACGTTTGAAGATAGGAACAATTCCTTAACAATAAACACGATGGCATAATAAATTCCTGAGTTTTCAAAGTTTTCGAAACATTCTCCGCACGTAGATCTCCGATAAGCGTGCGAACTATTGTCTCCAAGATTCCTGATAAAAACTTCCTAATTATTTCTCTCTTTAAGTAACAGACCCCTGTTGCTTTTTAGCGTTCAACATTTACTTGATAAATGTTGTATGTATTTAGTCCCGGCGAGAAATATCTCGAGACTGTCCTGGATGAATGTCCTCCTCCCCATCGTCTTGATCCTCATTATCAGTCCTCTCTCCTTCTTCAGGAGGCCTTGTCCATCTGAACAGAAGAAGATTATTAACTTATCACGATACCTTCGTGCAAATTAATAACGCGTGCGATGATTCAATTAGCAACCTGATCAATGTCTCCGGCGATCTATAGAGGAATATTAATTTAGCGAACAAGTCCTCTTCGAGACACAATTCTCCGCTTTCGCGGACCAAATAAATATCTAAACATAATCGCAAAATCCTGTCCACATAGGGCAGGTCATCGAACATAATTTTCGGTGCCATTTCACTCACTCCCTTCCTGATCATTTGGCTAATGACTATCACTGCGGTCGTGTATAAACCTAGGATTCTGTAGACGTAAAAGTTTAAGAACGTTTGTAGGCGTTGGTAAATTTTTAAAGAGAAATAAAGTTGGTACAGTTTCAAAAACATACCCAAATCCACTAATGAAACTTAAACCTTCAGGGAACGTTTTATCGTTGAACAAGAACATCATGATGTATTTGCAATCATTTAAGGGCACTCTCCTCAATAAATTGTCGTACAAAGTATCATTACAGACTTCGTTAACGACCCACCATTTCGAGCGAGCGCAACATTCTGCGTCTGTGGATAAGTGAAGACTGATATTTCTATGTATCTGGCTCACATCCTCTTCTTCTACTTCGTCACCCATCCATTTCGCTGAAATCATTTCATTGAATAAACTTCGATTCATTTCACATTTACCTCTATTAAATTCGAATCGCTTGTTACACTTACGCAGTCGCATCAATTGTGGAACGACATCGATCGTCCGACCAGTAACTTTCAAAAATTTGGGGAAAGCATTTTCCAGCAAAATAGTACCATTGTGTGTAGTCGACGCATTGCTGGACAACGTGTCAGCTAATATTTTCCTTACAGGATTGAATTCATTGTCCACATACGGTGGTAGTTTCACATCTCGAACTCTCGTCGTTATCCCACTAACGTCTTTCGCGTCCGTCTTTCGAGACACGGTCCACTCAACGTGAACAATCACGGTTGTGCTATTATCTTCCAATTCCGATATTAGTCTGCCTCAAAGTAAATAATCAAATTTTCTAGATTCCCTATTTTATTATACTTACATTTAAATAGGAAGTCAAGACGGAATTTTAGTCATACCTTTCTAAGTCTGGTGGAGATATAGCCCATAATTTTCTCGAGAATCCACTTAGTCTAACGGCCGCAACGTCAGAATGTATATAGTTCTCGAGAAAAGTAACCGCGGGCCTGTCTTTCGTATACAGATTCGTGAACCTCATGTAATCAGCCTCACTGTATTCTATGATCGAGCTACTTTGGGCCGACATAGAATAAATCGGCTCGTACGGGCCGATCCTGATCTTCATCGAAACGTCGTATGGCAAATTAGAAACACCAACTGTGCCACCGAGTGCGAATAGAAGCAACGGGAACCATATCAGTCCGATCATAAGGAAAAGAGCAGCACCACCGACTAAATATTTGCTCATTTGCTGTTTCTTCATGCCTCGCGGTTGAGGGAAATCTGCTTCTACGCCTCGCATACACTACAATGAAAAGAGTGCTGACTTCAGTTCTAGTTCGCATAGAATGTACCGTAAGACGGACGATAGATGTACCTTAATTTGATAAATGTTTGCAAAAATATCTTCCATCTTGAACCAATCCATTATTGTCATAGAAGTATCTGTCCATATCCAATCCATCACTGCTCTTAATTCGAATAAGAAAGGAATTAACATAAATCTGTAAAAAATAATAATCAATACATTTCTTCAGTCTAACAAGTTTTTAAGCGTTGATAGACAACTGACCCTTTGAATAGAACGTAATTGACGATAGTGTATTCCTTGCAAAGGAAATTGCCAAGTATCCGAGTCGGATATCCTTGTCGCAACTGATAGGCCGCTAACAGAAGGTAGAAACATTTGACCATATACCAAATTTGTGGAGGAAGCCTCTCATTGAATTGTCTGCAATTTTTTTCAAAAATATTATGTATATGTACATTAATTATTTGCATAAGGCGTAATGAACACTCGTCAAGGGAAAAGAATGATACCTTTCAGTAACACTTGGCAAAATAAAGAACATCCAAATGTGTACACCAAAGATTAGACAATACTGGAAAATTAATTTGCCAACAATTGATTTCTTTAGGAACAAAGCTCTATCGATGACTATTAATGCGAATTGCAATAATAGCATCAATAAGAATGGCATTGGGACTCGATTCTCTTGCAGATAAGCCGCGACACCGCCATCGCCTTGTTGCGTCTAAAAGTTCATAAATGTCGTAATTTTCTCTATGTCAGGAAGATTGATGGAATACTTACACCAAATGCGGAGAATCCAAAAATGAGCAACATGAAGTTAAAGAAATCGCACAGGAACATGTATGCGTACACGTTCGTTCTTTCCTTTCCAACTTGACTGAGAATTTTATCGAAGAATTGCTTCGTAGGCTCCACGTACTTGTCTATGCTGAATGGAAAAGCAACATTACAAAAATAATCGAAAACGGAATTAAACAGAAAAAAATAATATTTGCTTACGTCATATCCATTGCTTTGTCAAAATCCTCATTCACTGGATTAATTTCAGTGCCCTGAACCCCGACTAATCTTTGCTGTTCGTCGCTAGTCTGCACAGTTTCACCCTCGCCTGTTGGCAGGTTTAAAATCCTACCTTGCGGTGTTACCACACGGGAATTGCGTCTATAAAACATTAAATATCACGTAATTAGGGAAAGAGAAGGAAAAATTAAATATCAAATTACTCTTGATCGGTCAGCCGCGCTGTGGGTTCTCCTTGACCCCTGTCTTCAGGTGGCGGTCTTGATGAAACTACAGTCAAAGTGGTTGGGATTATTTTCCTCGGTACATAGGGAGAAGTCCATTGGCCTAACGATTTGAGCATAAATCTGAAAGTAAATTTCTCCTTGAACATCCCTGTGAAACATAAATATTTAAAACGGAATTTTGACTCTAATTTACCTATGGAAAAATACTACTAGAAGTAGTAACAAATCCCACAAAGCATAATTATGTTTACGTTCAACACCCATAATCCTAGGAGTGAACAAGGGATTATTTGGCGCGGCGTCTCGATTCCAGGGCAATACTTCCAGTTGGAAAATACATTTGACTATGACAATTGCCTAAAAATGTTCGACATCGACCGTTTCACTAATTCCGATTGAAATAAACGAGTTAATCTATTCGAACTGTTATATTTTACCTCTGTATATGCGATCAACGTTATCCAGAACGTTCTCGAGGGCCGTGGGATGGTCAACGACCCCCAACAAAAGACCATGAGCGGCAGGGGGGTAGATAGAACGGACGCGTTCTTAATTTGATGAAGGAACACCATAAAGTAGCACAATAAACACGAATGAGCCAAAATTCCAAACCAAATGGACGCCAATAATTGGATTATTGGCGGCTGATCGACTTCGGACAACTGACCACCTTCGTCGTCGTGTTGAACAGGAGAGATTTCTGAGTAAAGTGCGCTACGTAAAAGAATTTACATTAGATAGTATTAAGTAAAAACAAAATGTTCCAATATGAAATAAAGAAAATAGATCTCTGTTTTATTTTGCGTGACATCAATAGTGAAAAACGAAAGCCGCAGAACCTGTGGAGGAAAACTACAAAAATGCGCAGTCAGCTTTTCTACGTATTTTTACAAGCACAAGGTGTGATACAAACTAATACAAAGTGCAACAGTATATTATTTATGGAGAAATATACGAGGAATTATAATGAACATGCTTCTAACAAATATAGTACATCAACGTGCAAGGAAGTGCGCTTAAGTATTCAGTGAAAACTGCTATCATCGCTTTTATGAATTACTCTTGATACCTGGAGGAGGACACGTCCAATCCTCGCTCCAAACTCGGTGCCAGAATTCGGATTTGAGGGATCGTCAGGGAGCTGCTTTTCCTGACAAAAATAACGCTGCACTCTGTCTACTTTGAATTATACTTCCAAGCCGAGAAAGACGAAGTTTAAGAATAGTAATCACTACTTATCAATTTTAAAACATTTATACTACCAGAAAAATCTGTCGCGTAAAGAATGAAGCGTTTTCTACAAGATCTTACCTCTGTTGCTGCGGTGACGTCGATTGACTCTGACCTTCACCACCATCAGAAGGCTCCTCGGTATTTCCGTTAGTTGATCTGTCAGAGCGCGTACATTTACTACTCTAACATTTACCATATGTGTATGTATATCTAGCCTAAATAGCAGGGGCGAGAATGTAAACTACTTCTTTCTGAAGGGATTCTACACTTTTGTAACGGGCACAAACAAATACTCGGGGGCAAGTGCATTTCTACCAAAGCTACGAAGTGTCAATCTAGAGTACCATCAAAGAATTTACAATTTAAAAATGAAATGTAAGAATTTTTTAGTCGTTTAAGAATACGAGTTTGATACTCTATTGTTATATCTATTATACAGTTAAACATCCGCGAGCAAGTCATCAGTATACTAGAAGACATGACGTTCCTCATCGTTCAGAATCACATTTACGCATATGTACAGATTCTGTCATAAAACATCTCTTTTGTTCGTATACCAATGAGATGTTTAAAGAGAATAAGAAATGTATGTTCTATTAATCACACTTTCCTGTGTTGTTTACAATATCTACCTTCTTTTCAATAAAGGAATCGGTTGCCACATTTGACTAATGCCCAGTCTCGTACCCATACGAAAATCTGGTTTCGCCTGGAAATCGGAAGATCGAGAAAAATTTCAATTCCGAAGTCATCGGCTTGACATTCCTTACGTTTATCAACGCACCTTCAACGCTTTCTTCTCTTTTGTTAGAACTTTGCGAATGTATCTGTAATCGCGGGAAAACTTGTTCAAGTATCTCGTCATCGACGTCAGGGTACTGTTGATCATCACCATGAGGAATTTCAGATATGTGCCAATGGATACTTTCTTCTCCTCCTCTTTGTCCCCTTCATCCACTTCATCCACCCCATAATCCGACGCTCCCGGTGTTTTACGTTCCGAAGTGTCCTTCTCCTCGGTTTCGGCTTCAGCCGACGTGAGACTCGTTTTGTCACCCTAATTCGCATAGTAATACAAATTGTTGTTTGCGGCAACCGTTGCGGTCTTCTTGCGAGGCGATTATTTGATACGCAAAACTTGGAGACAATTTTTGTTACACCATAATCAAACCGAGTGATCATACATATATTTAATTCGAAATTGCACAGAACGCAAATTGTCTCACACAAATTCCGCGTACATTTAGCTGATCGACATCGAAAATATTATTGTTATAATATTACAAGCGTGGTGCTACAGTCGCTGTAACGTAATGAAAACAAATTAAGCCAAGTATCGAGCGGCGGATTATATACACCAACGACGAGGAGCCTCCTGCGACTACAACGTGGAAAAGGATTGACATAAAAAAATAAACAAAAAAAAAGAAATCGACATAAGTAGAGCACCACCGCCTCCGTCATATTTTTTACAAAGCTGGAAGTTGCGAAAAGAAAGAAAGAATTACTCTTAAAGCTTTCTTCATTTATAACTATTGAATATAAAAATATTATATTCACATATAATAAATATTCGTATATACGATCAATTAGTATCGCTATTATTTTGTTTGCTGTGGGGTGACTGTGTCTCGTGTATTGTTAAACGTGTTAAAACTCGTAAGTCTGGCATAGCTGGCTATGTATTAACAAATTCTTAAACCACATCGTGATATGCACTGATCTCTATGTGTATGTAGAACGCTGAATAGTAAATGTGTACTAATGATAATGGCCCCAACTGAAATATCTGCAGCTATTTTTATATTATGCATATTTGAAATTAGCTCCTTAATTATTGATGCTTCACTCAGCAGGCTATTGCAGGTCATACCGATGCCTTAAAGACCTCAATAAATATGGTCAGTTACTTCTATTGGGACCATTATCATTAGTATACATCTATTATTCAGTATTCTATACAAATCAGTAATCAAACGTGATTCGAGTATCTTCAATTTCTATGTAACAATGAAGACAAAGAGTGAATACATTAAAGGAAAAAACAAAGTGTACAAATGGAAGCTCCGAAAAAGTACCCACAAAAATAAATGAAAAGGAATACACTAAAAATCAACGACGTAGACATGGAGAATGAGAGTAAACTAGAGAAACTAAAAGTTGAACTGAGAGAAGAAATTAAATAGTATATAACTAAACATTACATAGGAAAAATACTACAGGAAAATGATAGAAAGAAAATGAGAAAATAAACGAGAGAGAGAGAGAGAGAGAGACAGAGAGAGCGCCTGTAGCAGTGACATGCAGCCTTTGAACTCTCACATCAGTGGCCACTGCAGTATCGGTCTCGGAACGTGCACTGAGATACGACATAGACGATTTCTTCCTTGTTAAAGGCACACTCCGACGACGTAGTCTCAGCGCGTCCTGTTCAGTCCCTCCGTACATGGCGACGTGCGTCGCGGTTGTAATGTCAGTTTTAATCACGGCGTTCATCAACTGCAAGGGGACCAGACTTAGCGTCATTTGTATTCATGCAAATACCGATTAACTTCTTTCTGCTGTAACCGTTCTCTGCTGTTGGCTACTCCTCCACGGACCAAGGGTAGAGAGAGAATCGTGAAAATGAGAATGGTTTTTTTATGGTAGGGGTTGCTAGGATCTTAGGTCTTTAGCGAGTAAAACTTTATGCGGCACACGAGACAATTCGACCGTTGACCGTGATCCGCCTGGTAAACTCATTGAGGAATCAAGTCAATCCAGTTAATCGAACAGCAACCAAGTTAACAAAATTAATTGGTCAATTTCAGAAAATACAAATTGAATCGGTAGCATTTCATGAAATTTTTCAGTGGATAGATCGTTGTAGAACTATAGATTAGTCAAACTTCGCTTCGATTGAAGATATACAACAGACAAACCAGATTCGTTACGTAACCCTTCAGAATGTTCAATTAAAACATGTAAAAGTGCATATGGAGAGGGTGAATCACTGTACCTCAGAAATGGTCATTCTTCTGCCGCGAGCTGTGGCTTCGTCGATCTTCTCTTCTTCCCTCTTCTCAGATTGGGTATCCGGGATCAAATCGGTCACATCGTCATCGTCCAAATCATCGAACATGTAGTAATCACCCGATCTGATAGCTGATCGAAAGAACCAAATTTCTCTTAATGATCGGAAAGGTAGCCGATCGCTCTTATTCAACTATATTGTGCCAAAGCCATGCACGTTACATTATTTGATCAGCAGTACGATATTCATTAAAAAACACTCCGTAAGATTCAGGCTAATTAGAAAACACATATTATCTTTGTAGACATTATTAGTAAAACATGTAAATGCACCCAACACCATCATCGGTTCGCTATACACATATGTACATGTATATACATTATGTCAGAACATCAAATGATCCGCAAACAAAATTATATATACATATAACATATGTACATCGTAAAGTTCCTTGAAAGCGTAAGGACAATCAGTCAGGATGTGGAGACGTCGATTAGTAGGACAAAGCCTGGAGAAGCTGCGGAGCGAAACAAATAACTCTCAATTACCCTCTCTGTTGGTCTTTGGCGCATGAGCTCTGTACAATGGCCGTGTCCCTGGATAGAGAAAATCTAACGAAAAACAAACAAAAGGTACAATACATGAAAAACTGAAAACGATACAAAGGTCTTCAGCACGGGTAGAAATATACTACAAGAATATACAATTATATTACACGTTGTATAATCCTCGAATCCGAAGCCGACGGAGTCGACGGGGTACAGGACTATCTATCAAGAAATCAATGGATTTGGATTTCGGTTAATTAATTTTCCTATAAGAAAGATAAAGTCAGTTGTGAAAATGAGATAGCAGTTAATACTCAGAGAGGAAGATTTCTAGTCGAAGAAACATTGGTATACAAACTCAATATCAAGTATGTACATTTTCGAAAACAAAATTGATCGGCAGACGAGAAGAAATAAGTGTAAAAAAACATTTTTGAAAGAAGACCACTACTTTTGAAGAGAGAAGTGCACGTTTTTACAATGTACACCATTGAGACGATTACCGATGATGAGATAAATAAGATAGATAATCGCTAGTATTTCGTATAGATACAGATATTGCCAAAACAACAGAAAGAGAAAAATGCAATACAGAGGTAATGTCCGATAGATTCTCCAAATCGAGAAAAAAATATATCACCAAAGAAATATGTGTGCCTCCCAGATTATTTATAAGTGCTGTCACGTAAGCGTATGTACAGGACATGGTAGCGAATCGACAACGACAATTTGATTCCCATTCTGTCGTTACATGTGTGATGAGATTGCGGGGACCGCGAGGTGGTCGAGATGATCGACTGCCTCGGTGTCTGCAACCCGTTCATCCACGGTGGTCCGATATAACTGGACTGCCGACGATGCCTGATTGACGAGTTCAACGATCGATCCCGCGGTACCCGACCGTACGGCGGCGGCGAGAACACCGGAAACGTCTCGTCGGGGGACGGTCCCCGAGGATTCAGCTCGCTACTCGGCGGAGAACCGAAAGAGATACGAGTTGGCTCGAGGTAACCCTCGAGGCTCACTGTCATCACAGCGGAATTCGGCGTGGGTGCCTGCAAGAGGGATGCGGCACGGGGCGTCAACGGGGGTGGCTCATCTTCGTCCTCGTCGACGGGAGTTTGGTAACCTTGAGGGGGCGTGTGACCCGAAGAAACGCACGGGCTCACGCTGGAAGACTTCGCCAGAGGCGCCTCCCCTTCTTTTTGGTGCGCATTAAATATAGAGACTCGACATTAGCCTAAACGATATGCTGAGTGTATAAGGGATGAAACGGACGAAAAGAACTGATAGGATCATGGAAAATAGAATTTTTAGGATTATAGTTACGGGATATATCAGATATTCAGATAATTATTGTTACTCAATGAAGAGATAATTTCGTGCTGTTAGTCCAACTGTCCTATACCTTAGGGAAAAGTGATTAGAAACGTTGAAATGATCCTTACCAACTTTGTGCGTCTGAGGTTCTCTGTAACTCGGTCCTTGTATCTTACGTTGACTGGCTTTAATCTTGTCCATCTTATATTTCAATTTCTCCAATACGTTCTTTTCGACGTTGTCTTGAGCATCAATACGCTTTTGATGCAACTCCTCTAGTAACTCCGCACCCCTGGAGGCCAAGACACTCATGGCTTTTGTTTCATCCACTATGTGGAAGAAATAATAGCTCTTAAAGAGTCGTTTCTGAAACAACAGGAAACCGAAGCAAAGGCCATCCCAAACCATGCCTATGTTTTCTCGCGGTACTTCGCAATCGAACTTGTCCAGAACTACATCGTTGATCGCACTTTCGAATTTTCTTAGACAACTTATACCGAATAACTGAATTAATGGGCAAACCAACAAATGCAGCTGAAATTACCAATAAATTAATTAAAGTTTCACCTAAACGTATAATATAATCATAGGAATTAATAAGGAATTACCTGGCTTATTAAGACACAACCTGCACCTTGAAGCAGAGACTTCAAAAATATCACAGTTACGTTGTAACCGAGTAGGATGTTCCACCATTTTAGGATCGTCCTCACTGGTCTCAAATAGAAATCACTCCCTTGCCAAAGGAACATGAACGCACCGATTAGGTAACCCAATGAGAACAGATTAGTCTTTTCTGTTCCGGCCAGGAACATGATCGATAAAGTGATCCACATGAGACTCATTAACACGGCTCGTTTTATTACGTCCAACCAGCAATGAATGTGCGATACATAATCCTTCACGGGATTCACGAAATTCGGTTTTTCCATATTCTGATATACGGAATAATTATGACCGGCCGGAAATTCAATATCGGAAGCCGCACTTCGACTTTCGATTTGGAAAACGAGACTTTGCCTGACGATCATCATTAGCACAATAAAATCACCTGTTTCAATTAAAATAAAATTGTAGGCCAATACTTTACTCCGAAGAAATCTAAGAATACACTTAAAATCTTACACATTAGTTTCCTGGCATTGGGTGGGAAATCAGGATCCGGGAGGTACATCCACTCTTGCAATCTCCTTAGTGTCTCAGACTGACCCCATGGATAGTCTTGAAGATAAAGAGGAAGATTACATTGTATTTACATATTGAATTTACATTTTGAATATTTCTACCATAAATGTTCGTTTACCTATACAGAACCAGGAAGGAGGAGCTACGACGAAAGAATATTGAAGTGGCAACAGGACTATGACAAAAATTTTGAAGATCGGCCAAATCCTGGCGATGGTTTTCCTTCTTAGGGAAAATAAGAGTAACAGCCAGAAGCTGTAGAGAACCGAATATAAATCGAGTCTCGTTCCGACCAGTGCCACTACTGCAATTAAGCAGAATTCAACTCCAAATTTGTAGAAGCCGTAATTGAAGAGAAATTTCAAACACTCCGGCACGCCTTTATCAGCGGTTTCTCGAGTAACCGAAGGGAACATGACTTGAGGTGTCTCGAGTGGTTCGCCTTGCGCTTTTCTATGAAAACACTGACGAATTTTAATGATCTTTCTTAGGGTGGTCACCACTAGAATCCCTATGTAACCCTTCAATAATTCTGCCAAATGTCCTTGTTCCGCTTTTTTTATCCCAAACCATTCTGCGATATTGTATACCGTGTTGTTGCTACCAAACTGCGCATCATCTGGATGCTTTTAAAAGAAGAGGCTTTTAATCATATAATTCTAAGTATACCATGTGAAGTAGTTTTCAAAACACTTACCGTGCAATTGATATTCCAATTGCTGTGATCAATATATTGAATTTGATACAGCATTTTTCCGACCATTAAAATAGCAATTATAGCAGCAATGACATTAACAGTGCATATTTGGAGATATCTTCGAAAATTAATCATGACGACCGTTATTACGACAAACACGAAATTAATAGCACAGACCTGAGAAACGAAAACAAAACACATAGAATTAAATTATGAATACGATAAAATAATAGGAGACTTTAACTCTCGGTTGGCTTGAACTTACGTCGTTGACACAGTAAAGCATCACCGATAGGAAAATAATTTTTTGCATGTGTATTTCCAAAAAGAGCCAAGTGTAATTGTAGATATTTCCTAAGCATTCTATTATTTCTCGGAATAACGCAATTCGCTCCAATTTAGACATTTCTAAAAATTGGATCATTATACATAGATATATTAAATTACATTAATTTGATTATAGAAGCTCAACGCTTTTTATCGTACGTTTTAGTTGTCTTAAAGTGTAAGCCGGTCGCTGGTCGTCTTCGATTATAAAAACTTCACCCGGTGATGCTGGCGGGATAATTATTGTAGGTGAATGACCGAGACTCGAGCGTTTATCTCGTAGACTTTCGTCGATTCTGTAATTTATGTTATATTGCTGCGCATTATGTTATTACAGCATTTCTATCTAAGAAATTCCAATTACTAACCCGGATCTCTCAAGATCAGTTACTTTCAAGAAATCAGCATGGAAATAATGAATCTGTAGAACAGTGATAATAACGAAGAACGTAGGCGTCAACAGTCTAACGAAAAGATCCTTGGTTTCGTACTTTTCTAAACCAATATCCATTTGCAAATTTTCATCGATATGCAAATAATGCCAGTACCTCGGAAAATTGTGAAATTGATAAGTGTACACAAGTATTAGCATAACTACAGAGTAACCGATAACCGTTAGCCAGAACGGATACATCATCTTCCTCCATACTGTCCAAGATATCTAACAGATAATAAATTCAATCATAAAGTGATGACAAATTTATGAAAACATTCATTTGATATTATATCTGAAATCCTTATGCATATATGTATGTGTATACCTGGAAAGTAATGACCAGAACAAGGAAGAGAGACATGTAAATGATCCTGAAGACGGTCATTCGTTCACCGGTGATTCCACAAATAAACAGCATGATAGCCACCACAGCGATCCAGTACTTGGTCAACAGTTTTTTCAACAATATACCAACTTCCTTCATGAATTTACTTTTGATCTCCGGCGTTTCCTGATGCATTGCTGTGGTAGCCGTTGAAACGGACACGTGTAACGGCGCGATCATGTCTCGCATCGCTGAGGAACGTCTCTGTCTAGTTCGCTCAGCTGTATATTGTCTCATTGTTATCCAAAACATTGATATGAATAGACACTGCAAAATAGTCGTAAAGATTTTGTTAATGCGGCGTGTTTCACGTTAGATTCGTAAGTATAATAAATGACTGAAAATTATTTTTACTTTCACCACCAAATGCCAACGACTATGTTGTTCCGCTTTGGTGAAGCCGATCTCAGAAACGCTGACTCCGTTCACCATTGTCGGCAGTTCTTCCTCCGTCAAATCCATGCTGTAAATATATTGCACAACCAGCAGAAGCATCGCGTAAACGACGATAAAGGGAGACCATTTCATCATGGAAGCGCGTTTGTCAGGTACCATCCAGAGTACCAAAGCCCATAACAATAATGCAAAAGTCGTCCAACTGTGATACATTATACTCCAGGTCTAAAGAGTAAAACGGAAAAATTCTATTAGAAAACAACGGGAGATTACCGACAAAAATTTCATAAAATTTACTCACTCGATGGTTCTTACCATCATTATAATGTTCGTAGCGAGATAGGATGAATTAAGTATTAACTGGAAGATCGAGTACACGGCCATAAGGATTTGCTCAATAATTCCAGTCTGCTCATCCGGGGCAGCTACGAAATGTTCAATCGGTGAATTGACGTACCACGATCTCCGTAATTTTATGATCTACGCTTTTAACAAACCTTCGCTAAGACTCTGCATTTGAATACTGTCATCCTGATGACCATCTTGGACGATGACGCTCCCGGTTGAATCTTGAAGCAGCCCCGCTCTCGCCGATCCAAATCGCATCAGCTATACGAATAAAATAAAACGTACTGCCCTCCGTAATCTTATTACTAGATTTCATTCGATAGTTCTGTATGTACATATATCTACTTATAGTGTAATTTCTAAATCTCCATTAAGAATATATTTCGTCTTATTTCTCAAGCATACGCATGCAAGCTGATTCACTTTACCTTCACCAATAGCTAGAGTAGCAACTTTTAAGTACATTAAATATTTATGTTCAAAAAGGAATGAAAAGAAGATGTGTTCAAATAATGCAAAGATCAGGATAGTTAAAGTATAGAAGTGATTGGCATTGAATAAAGTGAAGTAAAATAAATAAAATTGATCGTTGCAATAAAAACATGCAAACTTAATCAGTATACGTACGGGCGTGCGCTCGTCGGCAGGTGGTAACGACGAATTATTCGAATCGATCGGCTTCTAAAACAATGGTAAACTAAACATAGCAGCATTCAAGTAGAAAAAGAATTTGCTCGGTCACCTGCCCCGGATTTATTACGACTGCATCTCTAAAAACCGGACCCCTCTGTCTCTCTTCTAATTGGAAAAAATGTACGGATCAAGATCAGTGAATGCATTTAAGGATGTATTGGCTATACAGTCAATCCGAAAAGTTTATGTACCTTAGAAAAACGCATTTCCTATAATTAAAAAGAAATCAGACGTCGGAAGAATAATGCTAATAATAAATAGCTACGTGTTAAAAAGTATAGAAGGAAATATCCAATTAAGTATTAACGCCAACGAAAATTTTTTTTTCAAAATTTCGAAAAATGCTTCAAATAAAAGTTCTTTTCCCTCTAATTTCGATATTTAACGAGTTACATATGACTATTTGGCATTTTATTGATGTTGACAAAATCCGACCATCCCAGCGTCGAAACAGCGAACTTTTGGAAAAAAATTTCGTTTTTTGCCCATAACTCTCAAACAGATGGACTTAGGGGGAAATTTATAGGACCATTTAGTAGAGGACGACGAGATCTACAATTTCTGTATAGAAATTCTTCGCTAACATCAATATTTAACGAGTTATTGACGAAAAACGAAAAAACAGTTTTTTGCAAATTACTCGTTAACTATTGACGTCAGCGAAAAATTTTTGTATAGAAATTGTAGATCTCGTCGTCCTCTACAAAAAAGGATGTGTGCAATTTTTCCGTAAGTCCAACGGTTTGGAAGTTATTGGCAAAAAACGAAAATTTGGAAGAAATTGAAGGGGTACCCCTTGGAAAAATCTCGGAAAAATTGAAAAATTTTTTGTTGTTGTTTCTTATTAGCATTGTTCTTCCGACGTCTGATTTCTTTTTAAAAAATGCGTTTCTAAAGTGCATAAACTTTTGGGATTGACTGTATAGCCAATACATCCTTAACATACGTCAATTTCAATAACTGTTTTTACAAATGATTTAAAAGACTAAAAATTAACTATTATCACTACATTCTATAACAATGTATAAAAATGGTATACCTTCTCGTTAAATTAATTAAGGACTGAAGAAAATAAGGAAACACGAGAATAGATTGATTATGTGCATTTGGATTATACGCATTCCATGTCAATTGTATATACATATTTTGTTGCGTTGTGTCTAATCTGTGATAGAAATCGGTAAATAGTATGCATAGAAATAAATGTGTCTAGGGAAGAAAGGCATTAGATAAAAGCGTAATTGTCGGAAGAGATATCGAAAAATTAGGCTCATGCAGGACGAAATCCTTACGCGAGCCTTTCGTCGTGCCGATTGCCATCTCTGAGATGGTGTTCTCCGCCGGATGGAAACGTGCCTGGACAACGGAGTGTCCAGGTTCTCCAATTTGCCGCTCAAACGTTTCACTTTCTTTGCCTGGAACGCCTCGTTAATAAATAAAACGTCCTTTAAAGATAGGTGTTGCATGGTAAACATCGAGGAACGTTCGAAAGTTAGTAGAAATAAATTATAAAAGCTCGATCGCGCCTTAGCTGAGCAGAGACAAAACAATGTTAATCGTTCTCCTTAACCGCAAGAAAGTTAATTAATTACAGGCACATTGCACGCGAAGCGTATCGTTAGAACGGTTCATGCTCAAGTCAATCCTCGATTAATTTATAATTTCCAATTTTTTACTGGCCATTCTCAAATGAGCAGGCGTTTGAAACACAATACTTCTAATTGATTTTCTGATCTGATTAATTGCAGCCTTAATTAATCGATAACAAGCTATTTTCATCTGATTTCCTATAATTGCTTTCGTCTTTTAATGTCCTACTAGCCTTTCACCAATTAAATGTAATTTTAATAAATAATATTAAGCTCTTACTCTAATACACTGTCAGTTATGTCCCGCATCATTGTGCTATAAAGGTGGAAATTAACATAATATAACAATGAACTTACCGGCTTTGTACTCAGGAACTGAGATTGCAATGCCAAAACGAAGTAGAGCCAAAATAATCTCAGGGGATATCCATAGATCAACCAGTCTGCATTCTCTGTATATTTGACATCTCTCGGGTCCGTGCAGTTCGTCTCATAGACAGGTTTTAGCGCGAAGTACCGCTGCCAAGTGCTATTCACTGGTATCAATTCTTGAGGCAGTTGATTTTGATAACTAAGCAGAACTAATATGTGAAGGACCACAATGATCATGACGATTCTGCACAGAACAGCGAAGCCCTTGCGGAGTTCCTTGTTGCACGCCCACCAAGTCGCGGCACTCAAGAACACGAGAAAATAAAGGCCACCCTCTATCGACGGATTTAAGGCTGCAGTAATGCATAATGACGCCAGAATCACGTAGGTTCCGATATGCCCTAAGAAGTTGATTACCTGAACACGTAAAATCGATACGTTCCCTTAAAAAGTTTGTCAATCTCATTTTCGGCGCATGATTATATCTTTGAAAAATTCTGGCAGAACTTATTAAGAATGGTAGATGTATAATTTTATTGGAGAGTACCTTAACATGCCTATCTAAGATTCCTTTTGCTTCGTTGTTGCGCTGCAACGAACTCTCCTCCTCGTCAGGAATGCTTTGCGATATAAAACGGCAGATAAAGTACACTATTAAGCTAGTGGGCAGGACGATTAATTCTGGTGTTAACCAGAAGAAAATCTCCCAAGCGGAAGCGCTATCTAGCCTTATGAATCCTATGTGCCTGAAGATTACTTCCAGTGTCTCGCCTAAAATTCGTTTCGGGAAACCCTTTTAATCTGAATGATAATTAGAAACTAGAAATCGGAATTGTTTTAGTTACGTACAGTTGTGAAGGAAGTGCCCATAAGTGGGTAGAGCCAATAGAACTATGTGAAAGGTCAATTGACTGGTAGCCGTGAGAAAAGACAGGCCGATGCAGGTCTTCAAAAAGTGACCCGTGTGACCTGCCATTGTTCGTGCGTCTGGTATAGGTACATGGGGTGAGTACAGCATCAGTACCAGGTAAACTAGAGATAATCCTACAGGTCTCCATACTGTACCTGTTTAATTTCGATAATGAAAATGTTATATTGATGAAAATTTCTTTTATGCTTTTACGAAGCTTAAATCGTAAATTGTCTGTGCAAGTAACTTTCAAGCCCTTCCTTGTAATAAATTAAAAATAAAGGGCATTTGATACCATGTATTTCCCAAGTGCATTTTTATCACGCACATATACATTTTATTGTACTGATACGAAAAGAACTTGTGTGCTACGGGAAAGGTCAATTTCAACTTGTGGAACGATAGAAATGAAACTCCGTCACTGACATTTTCTTTATTGATGAATGAATCTCTCGTATGAATTCCAATAATATACATACACAAATGAAATATCTATGTGTACTATATCACCATATTAAATAATAAGATGCTTCAAAAATTCTATTAAATCAATTGCTGTTATTTAATTCGTAAGCATAAAAAATCGAAATTACATAACGTTTGAAATAATTATTATTTCTATTAATTTTTAACTAGTTCTCCTGCGAATATCCTTTCCCTTTCCTTTAATCTAGAACAAAATTATATGTACGCTCGTTCCATTTAGATGAAATTCCTGTTGGGGTCCTATGAATATGCTCTCTATTGAGAGAATGCATTCTGCTTACTATCGTCTCTTCCACGTGTGCATGCATGAACAGTTTGATTTGCTGCCAAGTGAACTGGGGTATGCATGTATCTACTGTTTATTCGAACAGGTGCATGGTTTAGTGTGAATTGCTTTAGGATCGGAATTTTACTATTTTAACTGCTTGGTTTATATTTTCGTTTTATGGTGAAAATTATATGTAAGATTAATTGAAAATGAAATATAACAATATTTCAATTACGTCCACGTGTCTATGCAACTCGTTTTGACGGAGAGTCGTTAATTATAAAAATTCCGCCCAACTAATTACTACGCCTTGCTTACGCAAGGTGATAATTCATGCGATAACAATGTTACATTCAACACCAACATCGTAATTCCTTTTTTTTTTTACTAGCAGCTGATTCAGGTCGAAAGATCAAAGAAAACGAGTTTTATCACGAGCAATAAAAACTCAAAGTGAATTAGGACTTCCTTTCTTTTAAGTCGGTTACATTTCACAGTAACTCGTTCAGCAAATATTCGTGTAATTACATGGCTTACTAATATTCTAATCCATGTTTATTGCAATTATTATTATAATTTCGAAAAATTGAAATAAAGGTGGAATATACGCGACAAAGTCGAAACGAGACTAACGTCGCCAATTATAAACCGTCTAAATGTGTCTCGACGTTGTCACCGCGTACATCCGAGGAACTTTCACAAAATACTCCGACCGCCCGCGCCTTCGTGAACGCTCGTTTCCCAGTTTATCGAATGCGTGAATGTTCAGTTGTTACGACATTTGTATTCTTAGAGTGTCCTGTTTTATGTTACAAATCAATTAAATTTGTTGTTCTTCCGAAATTGTTGATCAGCAATTAACTTTACCAATAATAAAGTCATATTAGTTTCTAATCAAGAAAAGAAGTTAATTAACGATGACTGTACTAATCTAATGATTACGGCACGCAGAACGAATGATAGAACATATGACACGTTGATAACACGCTGGTATAATTAACAACCGTGTGTATCAAGTTAGCTGTAATAAACGCTAAACTTGTGGACATTTTTATCCATTTACTGCCAACCAATAAAATATTATATCGTACAATATATTGCATTAAAAGAAAAATTAATTCTGTCACGTTTATCTCTATCGATTTTCGTGGTAGCATGCATAGATGACGGCATTCCAATAAATATGAAAAATATGAAGAAAAATGCTGTGAATTTCTTAGCTTCCCGACAGATTAGTCATCCATTTCCAGTTTCCACCTTGAAACCTGTACTACGTTTCCAGTTTCGCACGCTTCACTCGCGCTCAACAAAATACGACCTGAGGTCATTAGTCGGCTACAAGTCATAGTTATTTTAATACGATGATGTCATCGTACGATGGATTTATCTGTATTATTTCTTCCCCATATATCAACTTTTGTTTTTTGTATTTCTTTTTAACACACTAGTCTGTGAATTTCTACAAAACATCATCCAATCATAAAATGACGTCATGGCCCCTCTAATCTTATCGGTAAAAATAGAGCATCTCATTTATATGCGCTTGTCTATTTAACAACTCTAAATACAAAATACTTAGAAAATGATTGAACATACATTGTATAAATTCTCTGTGCATTTAATAGTCCACAGTTTTTGGAAAGAAGAAAGCATTCAATTCATCTATCATTTTCGGTCATTAAAATGTCTTTTTTGTAAGAAAATACATATATTGCAATAGTTTGCATCGGCACTTACTGACTGTTAAGACAACCGGTAGAACAACCCTGATGAGGGCGACGTTTAGCCAGTACTTCGGCATCCCTTCATCTGCTCAGATGACCTTTCACCCTGAAACAGAGAAAGAGAAGAGGGTTGCTCGTAAAACAATCAACCACCATGTACATACGTATGCTGTCAACATCTTTTGCAGCGGCAATGTCAGCTCGGCTAAGAATCGATACGGCAATGCCGCAGTCGGATACCTTTAACCTCGTTTTCCCATCGGACACGAGACCCGTTGTTTGAAACGTTCTTGCATTTCGACCCACGCTTTGCCCTCGCGACCGTTCCGATCCCCACGAAATTCACGCCCCATAGAGTTTTACTACCGCGCGGCCCTTCGTCTTCATTCTTCGTGCAACCGCACGACAACGTCCCGTGATATTTCCTGATACCATTTGTCAATTACTAATTCGCTGTCAGAACCAAATCAATTTCGTCTGATAGAAAGGATGGTAGAACACGCCCACGCTTTGTAAAATTCAAATTTACGTAGAAGAATCCATGAAAAAGATTAATTAATATATTGGCAGTATTAAAGAGCATTGACAAAACAGTAAAGGAATTTTTCAGTGAGTCGTATAGTTCAAGAATGAATAATTATTCACTTTTAATTAATAACATTTTATTTCATGTGACGTTATCGTTGCCTTCGAAAATTGTCTCGGCGCCAAACGTTAATAGAGCCGGACGCGTAGTGAATGTAACTCTTCGTGTGCGCCCACCATCTGCAACCATTTCCTGCTTCCGTATAAGATTTCACGATGATATCAACGTTTCGCTTCTTTCCGATCGCACGATGCACGCTTCGAACGCTTGTGAAAACCAATCCCCCTGTGTCATTCATTTTTCGTACATCAAATAAATAAAGATAGAATCAACTAGAATTGTTATAAGAGAAAGGAATAGGAAAAATTTGTTTTATGTATAGTTAATTTATTTATGATCGAATCAAAGAGACTAAAATAGAGTCTAGCAAAACATGTTATATATAATTCTAAAAGGAACTTTCAGCTTACAGGTGTTTCGATAAAACCAGGCGCGCCCAACTTAATTATCAAGCAGTTATATGGGGTTGGACTTTACTAGTCTCATGGTGGGTGCGTCCACTTATTTTACGGAATCTGCTCCGTCATTAGCGTCTGACAGTGATAATAAAATTACAGCGATATAAAGCAGAAGATACGAGGCTATCTTTTAATGACCAGAAATTGCCATCCTCGAAAAAAACGCAGCCCTTCACGAAGGATTCTATAGCTTACATTTTTATCGATTCTGATGACACTGGATATTTTAATTGCTCTTTCGCATTCATTTTCGATTATGGACCGCCCCTTCAAGCTTCGAAGTACTGTTTCAATGGATACAAGTTCTCTATTTTATCGTTTGACCTAAATTTAAAAATTGCACCTGAAGAATCCAGTCATATCGTAAAGCAAATGGTAAAAGGTTCCTACAACTGATAAATAGGTGTAAAAATGGAACTTTTGATATTATAGCCACAACTGTGTTGCACGTATGAATTTTGTCATCGACATACAATACGCATTGATATATCGTACCACGAACTGCTTATGTAATTAGGAAATGCTTTGTATGTACTGACCGTATCGTCTGACTATCTAGCCGGCCTCTACTTGTTTACACAATGGGAACTGAAACCGTAGTTTCCAACATGTTCCCAGCTTCTGAGGTGTAAGACACAATAAAATTATGAAACGACAAGAATCTCCTCTTTGCACTGAAAAAATCAGATTCCTCCACGGTGTAGTATTTTGCTTCGTGCATGGCTGCATCTGGATAATATGAAACTCGAAAAAGCTGTTACGTTACGAAACGTTTGACAGCACACCTATGTATATACGTGTACATATGTAGTTAAGGGTTCTCTTATCGAGGTCTGTAGAAGGTGGAGCAATGTCCTCTTTTTGATAAATAACCGAATGTCAACAGTACGCGCGATCGATGATTTATCTACATTGCTGCTCAAATGTTTGGAAGCATATTTTTATGGTATTTACCATATGTAAATATATTATGATATTTCAACGATATAAATAATTCTACATATACAGGGTGTCCGCATCAAAGTGCTACAGCAAAAAGAAACCTATTCATGCTAAATACTATTCTCCCTCTTTTCCATGCAATTATCATCAAACCCTACATTTTCTACGGATTATGGAGTAATTAGACTGTAACACTTCGAAGCAGACACCTCGTAGATATTTCAAAATCTAAAAGCCGGTGAGCATATTTTAACTTCAAAAGCGACACATAAAACTCATTCATACTGCTTTAAAGTCAAAGCAAACCGAGTCTCTTTGCACGAACTGCATTAATACTAGTGAAGTACATAATCCGACAGATGAAACCGCGTTTTAATTAACAGAAGTGTTGTCCTGCTCTTAGTAAGCTGCTCTGAGAAAATATCATGCCATCTGAATGACAGAAGCAATTGTGGATTACTTTCATTCTTTTATAGATCAAAAATGACCCACGCCTCATGTTTTCGTTAACCGACAATATTCGACTAATTCGTCGTAATTATATATCAACGCATTTTCTATTATTATGTAAAATAACAATTATCTATT